AAAAGTGATTTAGAAGAGGTGATAGATTTTTGCCAGCAATTTTCCTTATATTCCAAACTTTTTTTGGTTTCATATTGGTATTTATTTTATTTATGTAATCTCGCCATGATTTTCGTTTAGCTTCTTTGACGGCTCTACTTGATATTGCTCTTTTTGTTTGAATAGATTTAAATTATGGGTTGTATATTGAGTATTAAATTTTTGTAGTGCTGCTCTATCCATGTAATAATTTCTATGCCCTCAGGTCTGTCAGCACTTTGTTTCTTAGCATGTTTCATTCTTTGAAGGTCTTTTGATTCTGCTTGTTTGTTTGATCTTGTTTCCTTTGTTTTTTCATTGGGTTCTTTTGATAATCTGTCTAGATGATGATTGTTCCCTTGTTTGAGATGGAATAGAGTTTTGTTCATCTATGTCCATTTCTCTTGGTTCTTGAATGATATATTGGGTTGTGTTATTTCTTTCATGAATTTTTTTATTTTCTTTGAAGGGTTCTATTTCTCGAAGGATTTTTGTACTATGGATTGGGGTTTTCAGAGTTATTTGTACTTATAGATTCTTTTTTGTTTGAGGTTGACAGAGTGACAGTTCTGGGCATTTTATTATTCTCTTAGATGAATTAAGAAATTGGTTGCAGTATGCCTTTCACAGGTGTTTGAGGTTTCCTATAGCCCCACTGAACTTAAATAAAGTCAATTCAGGTTTCCTATGGTAAAAATTTTCTTTCCCAAGTGAAAATCATCACAAAAATGGCAAAAGTCATTTTGTCACAGCTTATTTTCTCTCAAAAAATGGATTTTCATACTTTGATAGGGGTAAAATATTGAAAAATGACTGTTTTATCATCACCTAAACTAATATCAAGGAAACTTTTGATCTGAACCCCATGAAACTAGGTATTTTCTGAAAGCAAAGGATATATTCTTTCATTTAAAAGTAAAATTAGCTGGTGGAAATGACTAAAAAAATTTTTCAGTGGGTAAAATGTGAAAAAAATAGTGAAAATTTTGCATTTTTTTCTTGTTCTAAACAAATATTTCCCCCATTAATGGGAAATTAACCATTTTCTTTTTTTTTGAAAATCAGAAAGCCTAAATCATAATCAAACTAATTCAGGCATAAAATTGTTTTGAAGGCAATCAACATTCCTATGGGTTCAAAATGCGACAAAATCCATTGTTAATTTTCAATTATATGACTGCCAAGGTTTAAAAAAAATTGAAACCTGGCCACGGAAATCTTTAGTAAAAGGCAAGAGATTTATCTGCAATTCCTAACCACCAGAAGCCAAAAGTTTGTTTTTTTTCCCCAAAAAATAGCGATAAGGAAAATTAAACCTAATTGACGTCTAGATCAAAGGTCGGTCAGCCAGCCAGCCAGCAATAAACGGTAAGCCTTAGAACAAGTTGTAATAAAACCCACCACTCCCAGATAAAAGCAAAGAGTGAAAAAAAAAAAAAAAAAGGGTTCACCATTACTAGGGTTTGATATAACCTATGTTTGAACAATGGCTTGATGAGTTTTGTTTTGTTTTTAACACCCCGTGACCCGGGTGATGACAACAACACTTAGCAGACGACTTTGTTTTTTTCGCTGCATATCTTTCGTATTTCCCATTGCCGGTCCATTTAGCCATTTCTTTTATTCAATGATGTTCATGCCAAATGAAAGAGAAAGGAATGAATTTTGAATGATGTTATTTTGAAACAAAAATAAATATTTTTTCATTAAAAAAAGGGGATTTTTCTCAGAAAATTGGGCATAATTTCTTAATGCTAACCGCCGAGTGACATTTTCCACAGCCAAATTGAAGATTAATTACCAGTGAATAATTCCATGTGCAAACAATAGCTGTCTGGATCCTATAACGTCGCCCTAAAAGGTCCAGAAGTTTATTGATCGCATAATTGTATTTTTCACGGTCAGTTTCCATTATTTCATCTTGATATTATCATTTTCAGACAGCCAAGTCATCAAGGATTCAGGAAAACAGTTTGGCATAGGTTTTCTTTAAGAACTTTACATTCTATGAGGTGTTTAAAATGTTACTGACGAATGAGATTTTTTGCCGAATATTTCGTTTACGTGCCATGTTGGATTTTCCTATATGACAAAAACAAGGCTTTTAAACAGCCATGCTTTACTTTCATGTCATTTATTTGTTTAATTTTTAGTAAACTTTCTGCATCTTTTTTGGTTTTTACTTGAATTAGAAGTGTTATTTTTCTTTCTTTTTTTTTTCTTTTTCACAGATTTTTACACAAAAAGTGACACTTTTCTTATTTCACCATCTAAAGATTCTATGACTATGAAAATTGTTTTTTCGTGATGTTTCATTGTCAGTTTTTGTTTTAGAGTTTTCATCTTGTCTCTTGGTTCATTTATAAGAGTTAGCCATATAATTTTGTATTTGCTGTCTGTCTCCCACCTGGGAGTTCCTTCTTAAAGGACGCTATCAAGAGGGACTAATCCCATTCACCTTAATCTGCCAAGGCTACACAAATGGCATAGTCATGATGAAAGTGGATGCGAACACCAGCATTCCCCCCACCACATCTACCCAAGCATAGTATGGTGTAAGGATCCACAGATGGCTTGCAGCCATTTTTTTTCATTCCAACTAGCCCTTGCCACTATGTGACTAGCCGATTGGATTGGATTTGGCTATTTCATCCACCTGTCTATCCCAAGTAGGGACCAAAGTGACATATTGCAGAAACTCCTGGTCATTTTGTAACAGATCAGGAGTTACTCAGTCATCCGGACTGTTTCTCGGGTATCATGGGTCACCACCCACAGCAAACAAGTGGCCCCATCGAGGGGAATTTTTAGTTTTTGGGAATTGTTTTTTGTGAATTTGCATTTTATATATTGCAATTTTAGAGGCATTTTGTATGAACAGGTAGTTTAGGAATAGTGCTTTGTGTAAACAGAGAGTTTGTAGATTATGATTTTTTTATTAGTTGTTTAAACATGTCTCTCTTTAATTTCAAGAGACTGTTTGAATGAAGAAACTATATTATTTTCCTGAAGGCACCATCCTAACTATAAACAGATAGGTTGTAGGTTTATCATATAAGTTGATAGCATGTAGGTGAAGTTTTCCTCATTTGAACAATTAGATTCTAGTCCATCTTGTTTATTCTACTATGTCTGGTAGATTTTAATGTTCTACACGAGATGCGAGTCTGAAATTCTTTTATGAAAAACACAGATTGCAGTTTAGCTAATTTCCTTGGGAACATCAGTAATTTCTTTTACGAAAATATATTGCTGGTAATTTTTATGTTTTAAAATGTATTGCTGGTAATTTTATCACTAAAATGTATTTCTGTCACCTTCACTACAAAAATGTATTTCTACGCTTTTGTAATGTTTTGATCCCAGATTGGGGATAAACTATTTGCCCATAGCTGGAACCCCAATGGGTGCTACCACCCCAGGTCAGAGTGAGCCTGGGAACAACAGCAAATAAGAGGAGGTTCCAGGCTCCTCAAAACCTCCCAATGAGAGGCCTTGCTGCTGGATGCAGTTTATTATCATACCCAAGACTGGGGTTGAATCTGAGTCAAGAATAGATGTGTATCATGTTAACAGAGAAGGATTATATTAACAACATAAGTGAAATTAGACAAAAGGAAGAAAACAGCACACTTATCCAAGGATGAAAAGACTGTGCTAATAGATAAACTTGGTCAGCTCTTGTGGATTTCCAAACAATCATATCCTGATATTGTGTTTGATGTGACAGATCTGGCTAGTAAAATTAACACAAGTACAGTTGAAGATTTGAAAATATTGAATAAAATTATCAAGAAAGTAAAATCTGATAATGTTTATACGGATGCATCATTTGGAAATTTGAATAATGGTGGCAGCCAAGGAGGACAATTTATAATCACTAAAGGAGATAATCAGAAGATGAATCCAATATCACGGCAATCCTGCAAAACGAAGAGAGTAGTAAAAAGTACATTAGCCAGTGAGCTCTATTAGAAGAGATTGACAATGCATCCAGTATCTCAATGCTCTTAGGGGAGTTGTTAAATAATAAAAAGATCATTCCCATCAAGTGTTTTGTAGATAACAGGGATTTGGTTGAAGCAATCAAATCAACTAAACTTGTTGCAGATAAGAGATTGAGAATAGAAATAGCAAGTATCAAGGAAATATTAGATAAGGGAGAAATCTGTTCAATAACATGGGTGAAGTTTAATGATCAAGTTACTAACTAAAAGAGGTGCCTGACCTTACTACATGATAGACTGTCTGAATAATGGAAAGATGACAGAATAATGTTTACCTTTAAATAAGAAAAGGAATTTGTTAGCTATTGCTTATCGTAACTGAGTAACCAGTTATCTCCCTCTCCCAACTTAATGGACTGTTCCTATCAGCAGTGTCAGCAGCAGGAGCGTAGACTTATAGCATCAACTTCTGCTTAGGGTGGATTGGGCCATTAATACTATTTAAACTGCTGTGATTTATCTCTTGGCAGTTAAACTTGCTTTCCTAGTGAAGTTATTGACATTTGAAACCAGACCTGGACTCTTACCAAAAAGAAATAGATAAAGAAAGTATACACTCCATGATTTCACCTAAAGGAAAAAACTGAAATTACTATTTTATAAAAATCCTAAAGTATTAATTTCGAAGTACTTAAATACTAATATTTGATACTATTCAATAAAAATTTGCCATAAATTTTTATAAATATTCAAGTTTAAAATTTTATTAATAAATTGAACCCATAATAAAATCAAGAAAAATACCAGTCAGAAAGTATTGAGGTCTATCAATTTCGTGAAAAGAAAATTAGAACTTTACAAATACAATATATTTACAAACAAAACATTGATCCAATTTACTTTGACAACATCAGCCACAAAAAAAAAAAAAAAAAAAACTTCACTGGGATGATCTTGATTCTAAATTTAATTCAGACGTATGCATGCATTAAGTCCTTATTTTTGAAAATATGCACAAAATAACAATTTACTTACAGGAATTTGTGAAATTTTGGTAATAGGCTCCATTTTCTCTACACAGCCTATGCTAACCTCTGGGATCCACAGGGAACAGCTTACATGAGCCCACTTCATACCACTCCTATTAAAATAAGAATCAGATATAATGAAAATTACAAAATCACTAAAGATATTGTAAGTGGAAATAACATGGGAATGCATCAATTAATCAAAAGGTATTTGCTTTTGAATAAACAAAATTAAAATTATCATTCCAATTTTCTCTACCATATTTCTGTACAGAAACAAAGACATTAACTAGCTTAAAAGCTGCAATCTTGATTGGGTCTTCATCACAATAGATAGGGAGGAATAGATGTGATTGTCAACAATAAACTACAGAAGAACTTAAAATTGATCTCTGCATTTAAGTATTGCATTAATATTTAAGCTTACCTTTTAAAAGTTCAACAATAATTCTTCCGCTGCCACTTTATTTGATGTATGTAGGCCCTTACTTTCACAATTAATTTTGATTATTCCCAATTTATTCCAAGTTATAAAAATTGTTATCATACAAATTTTGCCAAGGAAAGAAAATGAAAAATCGACAAAACCCCAAATTTCAGTAGTGCAGGCCCGGATCTGATCCAGAATGTTTTTAATTTGTTCACAGACTTGGCCTGATTCCAAAATGATATATGTTGGGCTATGGCCTCTAGGAGTAAAATTGAAAAAGTGTGACACAATGACACACTGAAATTCACATTTATATATAGATTATATCTAGAGAAATTAATAAGTCTATTTTAACAATGACATTAAAAACAAAAGGTTCAAGTTTGAATCTTAAACGTATAACAGTCTAAATTCATGATTTGGTTTTTCAAAAACAATTTTGAAGGGTGCCCTACCAATTCTGGTTCTGAGTTTTGCTTCAAAAAAGGAGGTCATCTGTCATCTCGACCTGTCAACACCTTCTCATGTTCATTGTTGGTAATTAATACCATGAAATGAGTCTTTTTAAGGAGTTGTATCTTTTCTATGACACCCCTCTATTATGCCAACCAGTGGAAACAATAGTTTTTCCATCCTCAACACAAATGATACAGGTTACAATGAAGTCACTCCGGCACACATTGAAAATGATGCCAAAACAATACTGATGGAAGTTTTTGAGGAAGCATTGATGGCATTTTTGATGGCCCTAGGTTCAGTGTCATTTTGTCATTCTTGAAGTTCTTATTGCTTAGGTACCTCCATGAGATCGCTAAAAAAAGAGCATAGCATGATGAAAAAGACACCAAATTTGACGAAAACAAAATGTTATTGTCTAAAAAAAGATCAAAGTTTATTTTAATTTTTCCTTCTTTTTAGAACATTCTAAATTTTGATAAAAAAAACCTTGTTTCTCTTTGCATCACCGGAACTAGTAAAATAACAAAGACAATTTTTAGCACATTTTTTTTTGTGACACACATTATTTTGGAAAATCTTACAAAAATAAAAATAACTGTCGTATGTTAATGAAACTTTCAGAAACTATTCACAGATGATTGAAATTATTATAAATGTTTTTTTTTTTTTTTATTAAAGTCATGGCAGAAATATTTCTTTTTATATTTATTACCCCCCCAACTAATTTTATGAAAACGCTACAAATTCAATCACATCAGGTTTAGGGATTACAATAGTTAAAAGCACAAGGCTTTGAGGAATGCAGATCATGTTTTTTTTTGTTTTTAATTCGACCCGCCACCCCACCTGAAAATCAGCTCTGAATTGTAACATACAAAACTCAATAAAACAAAGATATTTAATTTCAAATGCTTTCATGAATATGGATAATATTTTCTGAAAGCAAAATCTTTTCAATGAAAAATCAATTTTTAATACAATTATTTGTTATTTCTTAATTATAACAGATTTTTACATTTAAGTTGTTAAAATATTATAAAATTAGTAAAAAAGCCGCATCAGGTTTCCTAAGTGTCCTTATGAGATAGATCTTTTAATTTTTAGCACATTGTAAATTTTATCATTTTGACTAATCAGAAGACCCGCAGTAATTAAGAAATGTAATTTTGTGTTTATAATTGGGCTGTAAATATAAAGTACGGAAGACCAACCAGAATACAATTAAGTTGCATTATTTGAGTTAAGTATTTTCTCCACTGTTAAGGCCTTTACTTTTGCGAAACGTGTGGAGAAGTTAATTTGATTTTTCAATTTCAACTGAGAAGGGTATCTACAAGTATGAGTATCATCTTATGAAATTTATATGATCTTATTTTTATATTAATCTCAGTTATGATATTTTTCCATAAATGAAATATCAAAATTAATAATAAAATGAATGGAAATACAAATAACACAGTAAAATGTAATAAATGTACATAAAATTATAGTATTTTATGTACACTTCTGATAAAATTTCATAAGAATAAATTAATTAAATACCTTTCTTATGAAATATGAAATTTAATCTCACTCTTAACAGACTTAATTTATTTATAATATATTTTCCATAAAGCATCGTAAACGTAAAGCTAAGTACAAAAAAAAAAAAAAAAATTAGAGCACTGCTGGAAGTTTTCCTTAAAAATAACGAGGTAAATAATTTGTTCACTTAAATGTAAATAATTTCACTTTTCTCCTTCCGTAGAACAAATTATCCTCACAGAATCCGTCAATATCTCATTCATCACCTGTCAAGTGACGCGAAAGTTTTTTTTTTTGACCTGCTTTGTTTTATTTTCAAATTACATTATTTCAGTGCAGAAGCTAAGTTAAGCTTGGTTCAAAATATTTTAAATAAACATTATAATTTCTGATTTTCTTAAAATAAGTTTTGAAAAAATGATAATTGATATTTAAAAGAATTTCAAAGGGAGATTTCCAGTTTTTTATAAAATGAAAAAAAATTTCTAACAAAAATTTCGGACATGCTAGGAACGATTAAAAAATGTAAAAAAATACCCCAAAATAGTTTGATCTTTCCCCTTAATAATAACAAACATTTAGACATTAAAATTTTGTTTTCGTCAAGTTTGGCATCTTTTTCTTCATGCTATGCTCTTTCTTCAGCGATCTTGTGGAGATAGCTATTATTGCTCCAGATAACAATTTGTACAAATTGTTCTCTTGATATCAGAAGATATTACACATTACACATCCCAGATGTGTGAAATTTTGGACTATTTCAAGTTACCAGGACAATGAATACAGAAAGGGAAAAGCTAACAGAGGATAAATTATCTTTAAACTGACTTCTGTAGTCTTTGCAAAGCATGATGCTATATGTTACAGGGCTGACTTAACAACTAAAACAGCAGTATCCTCAAAAAAAGTCTATGTGGTACTGAACTTAATTAAGACTAAATAGGCTGCCATTTTTTATGTGCAGATGTATACAAATTTGCAGTCTATTTCAGCATCATGCTAAAGAATATTCAGAAAAGAATTTGAGAAGTCACTGCAATATCTGACTTAAATAAGTTGTAACTTAGAGATAAACAGCATATAATCCTAAACATTTTGTTGAAGGACATTAGAAAAATACAAAGGTATTTCTTTTACCCAAAATATATCTGGTACACTGAAACAAACTATCCATCAAACCAAGATTAAAAGCTTTTTAAAAATTGCATTACTTTTTGTTAATTAAATTATACAAATGCACTTTCTATTTTTTAAAGGAAGAAAAAACAACATTGTAGTAGTGAACTGATAAATTTTAATACAATACCTTGTACTTTTCATGGCCCCATCAACATTTGGGCACAATATACAAACAGGTTTTACTCCTAAAGAACATGGTCTACACAGCCAGCTACCTTCAGGAATTGTTTGAATACCATAACAAGCCTAAAAACAAAAAGAGAATGATCAATCAAAATGACAAATAAAGATAAAAGTAAAAAATAAAAAGATGATCACTTAAGTGAATTTGAAAAAGAAAATTATTAATTTTCTAGGGCAATACAGAAAAATAAAAACAAGTAAAAATACTTATTTCCCATATTTAGACCACATTTTTTAAATGCTATATCTCTTTCAGACATATGCAATCATGGCTCTCCAGATTCCTTTGCCTTTATCTGTAAAATGCTATGACTTCTTGGGAAAGATAGTGCAGTGGTTTCCCCATTGATTTCTCCAAGATTTTGAATTCAAAGTAGTCCTACACTGATTGTCTGCAAAGGTTATATAGCCCCAGTACCCTGCTATTTAAGCCATAGCTGGAGGGAGAAGACATACTAGCACCTTTTTTTTACTGAATATAAGAGACTAAGCCAGAGTTTGTACTTGGCTTGTTGATTTCACTTTCTATGCCAATAACCATTACCATTACTGTACTGTACTGTACTGTACTGTACTGATGCGGCATTCACCCTGGGCGGATTGAGCCGGCTTCTTCCTGTTATGAGAAGAAGATTCTTGGGATAAATTACAGAAGTAGGGTACCCAGGCCTACTGGATAACGTTCTTTGCTTGCCGCTTAGTTCCCACAGACGCAGACAGGAACGACCAAAAGCTGAAGTTACCGATGCAGACGCCCTTGATTTTCACCAGAGCCCTTGTTAATTTTCCGGCGTGTGTGTCAGACCTGTCCGCCTTTGGTGGCCCTACCAGGAACAAAGTTCCGGGCGGCATAGCTCTGACACTACCGTTTACACCCCCCCACCGACTGTGAGGTAAGGGTTGGACTTACCATTACCTGCATATCTGAATAAATTAGAAGATATATTAGAGATGTATTAAGTGTAGTATAGAGGGAAAAGAAAGACAAGTAACATCATTGGATACAAAATTGTGGTGATATTAAAATCTATAGGAAAAAGAGCAGATAACATGTTAGTTTCAGGTTCTGCAATTCATAAACTTTGTGTATCTTTCTTGCTACATTTCAAAGAGGTTTTATAATGACTGTAAAAAAAAACAAAACAAAAAAAAAAACTTTCAAACTGGGCAAAGTTCCTTTGAAAATTGCTGAAACACCTTAATTCATTGTCTGTAATAATTTGATGTGCCTACCTGATGAACACAAATATCACAGCCATCACAGAACACCATTTCATTATTCTCTTCACTGTCAGGCTGCAAAGACAAAATAAGGATAATCTTAATAAATTGCATGTCATCAGAAGTAAACACACAGTAGCACATCAAAACAATTACATCTCGCATTTAAGCAGATTTCAGTAGAAAATACACTGAATTTACAAAGTGAGAATGGAAGAGCACAACAAAATAGAAAAAAATGTTTTAAGGTGAAATTAATTGTCTTTGCAAAAATCTATATATTTCCAAGGATTGTAATTTTCAATTGATAATTTACTTTTGTTAACACATCAAGTTTACTTTTTGCAGCTGAATTTCAACAAGAAAATAGTAAAAAATGGAACTTACTGAGCGACAAACATCACAGATAACATCTTCATCATACTCTATTCCAAGTCCTTCTTCAGTTTTGATGGTTTTCTGCATGCTTTCATGACTCTAAGCAAAAAAATGACATTGTTGATCCAAATGTAAATTAATCACTTCAGTTTTCTTGGAGTAAAATTTTAAACAAATCTTGATCATTATTCATAATTTTGACTAGTATTCACTTAGATTTTGATTTTTTTTAAGTTACTTTTTATCACAGCTTTACTTATGCCATCAATTCACAGCAGTGAGCAGTGTAGATTATAAATAACAGATAAACTGTGAAATTTGAATTCATGTCCCTTTTGTCTTAGGAAAGCACGGTAAAATGGTAAATGCTTAGCTATTTTAACCACCACTACAAAGACTTGACAGCTTTACAAAAATATCAAATACAACCTATAACACATCACTGTGTCCATGACTTCTCTCAGTGCCATTGCAATAAAAACCAACTGAACAAGTCAAAATTAATAATAATGGTTAACAGCTAATAAAAAATAAAAAAAATAAATAAATAAAATCTTACTTGGTTTTCTAACTCCTCAATAATTCTCTCCATAATCCACTCATCTATCATACTCTCACCTAAAAAATAAAAAAACAAGATTAATTATTATTCCAATTTGAGAGAGAGCGAGAGTGAGAGAGAGTGCGAGAGCGAACAAGAGAGAGAGAGAGAGTGAGCGAGAGAGAGAGAGAGAAAAAAAAAAAAAAAAATAGTAGGCTTAAAACCTTTTGGTCTTACAACCCAGAAGTTTGTAGCTCTATTTGAGATAATCTTTTTGATTATTATTCTTATTTATTACTTGGGATAAGTCATATTTAAATGTTTTACTTGAAACTATTTTTATTTAAATATCATTCTCCTAAAATTTGCAATAATTAAATTCAATAATTTTACCAGCCTAATATATAATTTGAAATGAAAATATGGATTATCTAGTCCTTAAAATTGTTTAAACAGTTTAAATGAAAGTATATATTATCACTCCAGATATCTTAAAGCTTTACATGTGTGATGAAATGGGAATAAAAATATTGTACATAATACAAAATAGTCATTTAAACAGTGAGAAGTGTCTTAAATAGACATTGCTACCACCATAAAACATGTGGTCCAGATTAAGTGTATTATAAGCACTAGGCTAACAATGAATATTTTCTTCAGTCAAAGCAATGATGTCATGAGAAATTTTGCAATTTCAAGGAAACTGATTTAGGAGTATAACAAATTATGTTGCAGAAATATGGAAATTAAAAGTACTTTTATTTAGGTCTTCATCCAAATAATGACATTATTATGACTGGCATTTGCCAAGGTTGACAATAGAGGTAAGAGTTTTTACTAATACTGTTTGGGCAAGTAAAACAGTTACAAAAGAGTAGTTTGTACAAATGATCATTCACCTACTTTCTTCCATCAACCATTGAGTATTACTTGTGATAAAACCATTTATTGAGACAAAAGGGTAATGGGATAGAGTGTAGGGAGAAGTGGATGCATGGCTTAATTGTGAAATAGAATTAAAACTGCAGATCCCATTTTCTGTCCTGTTACATCATCTCACATATACTCGCTATTTTTTTCCTTTTTTAATGCCATATCCCTTCGGGACGTGGGCAGTGATGGCTCACCATATCTTCACTAATATCTGAATTACTATGACTCCTTGGGAAAGATAGTGGTGTGGTTTCCCGCTGCCTTCTCTATGGTTTTGAATTCAGAGTTGCCTTTCTCCTAGACTGAATGCGACCCAAGGTTAAGAGTTCAATCCTACAATTATAGTGAACTTTGCATTTAATAAACCCATAAGTTTTTAAACACCTACAAATGATCACAGCAAGGCCTATCCTTTTATAATAGCATCAATAAGCTGTTACTAATAATAGTAATAGTGGGGGAAAAAAAACTAAAGACACCATGGTCTGCAAAAATATTAGGTATATCAATAAAGACCAAAAGAAATAAATATGAAAATTTCTTATTTACCCATCTCTTCTCGTTCTTCATTGACTTGTGTGAGCCAGCACACATCAATGTCATCAAGGTCATAACGCACCACTTGTTCTGCGAGCTGCTGCATTCCAGTCAACTCATGCATGCCTTGACGATATGTCTCATCTGCTGCTGCATGCAATAACTTACGAGAATTACGCAAACTGAAATCATGAAATAAAAACCTTAATATTAAAAGATATAAAATTTATTTGTGTATTTTGTAACACTGAATTATTTTCAGTCAATTCTATAGTCACATTGCAAATGGTGTAACCAAGTTTTCAATTAAATACAGACAAAAGGAAAAATAAACCACTAAACCTATTACTTGATACTTAACTGGAAAAGTAATCTATGAATTGCCAAGCAATACAAGAAATGAAACAAATTCTCTTAACCTCCTAATTAGGATGAAATAAATTAGGGATGGGTGGTTTAACCGAAAAGCTGACTTTTTTTGGTTTCATCTTCACACCGTAATCTGCACCGAAATTTTTCATAAAACAGAAATCGTTCAGTTTAGTGTGACCATAACCAAAGAAACACTATTGAAAAAGAATTTCAGATGTTAATAAAAAAGGGTAATTGTTTTCTAGTAAGCCAGTATGCCAATCACGAAATAAAGTTATTGTAGACAAGAAAAATGAATGAAGATTTTTTTTTTTTAATAAATAAATTTGTTTCTTATCTAGGGAATGCACTTAAATTGGATATTAAGAAAAATTAAAATAGTTCTTAATTTCTCTTTTAAAATGTGTATATTTCCAGATATTTCTCTAGTGTAAAATTGTTTTCTACAAATAAAATTATGTTTCTATCTAACAAACACACCTAAAATAAGATATTAAAAAAGTGTTGGGTGTTATGCGTATAAAATTCTTCTAAACAAGGAAAATTAATTCATTTTATTTTTACAAATATCTTTATGGCTTTATCTAGCGATTATATATTAAAATGATTAAAATAGTTTTTAATTTCAGTTTTAAAATGTGTATCTAAAAAGAACACATGATACTTGCAGATAAAAGCTTTTATTTTTAATATTTAATTTTAGGTGTATTTGCTAGATAAAAACAAATTTATTTAGGAGGAAAAAATAACTCATTTATTTTCCTTGTTTAGAAGAAATTTATTTGCAAAACCCCAATAATAATTGACTGGCATTCCAGAAAAGAATTGCCATATTTTTATTTATTTATTTTTTTTTTTTTTTTAAACATGAGGGGTTTCATTTTTTGGCTTTTTAAAAGCCACATCATAATTTCTGGAGAGCTATACCATTTTCTCTCTCAAATGTGTTGTCCAAAGACACAAATATAGATAGTTTATGCAACAATTTCTTTTGTATTTTATCAATTTGTTAATAAATATGGTAGTTACTTATAGTTGACAATTTATTTGAAAGTTTAATAAACTTTAATCTAAGTCATGAATTCTATGACTAAATTACCTTTAAAGCCTAAAAACTGACTTTAGGTAAACAATCCCTATATTATTACCCCAATTTGCAGTTTACAATAATTTAATGATGATAAAAAAAAATTTAATTCAGCTTTATTGCTAAATGTAAGACATTTTTTTGAACAGAGCGACTTTTTTTTTTTTAAAATGTGAATGTAGATTTAGCATCTGCAAATTTAAACTTTTTAAGAGAAATCTTGTCAAAATAAATAAAAACGAGTCATTAGATTATGAAAGCATTTCTTGGCTAAAGTACTTATTATGATGCTGGCCTCACAGCAAAGTCTGTATGTGAAGGGATCTTGTCATACAACTTTACTGAAAAGGCTTGTTTCAAAAATTTTAGATAGGGTAACCTTCAAGATATGCACTCCCGATTTTTTTTTTTTTTTTTTAAGGAATCTCCCTTCAAATTAGCAGCAGGAGCCAGCTTCACTTTTGATCTGCTTTTTCTGGAAAATATACTTGTTTTTCATCTGAATTTTTAAATTTAAATTTTGGTCATTTTTTAATAAATAGGTCTCAATAAATTGTCTTAATGAATTAACCTTTTTTTTTTTTTTTTTTTACCAATAATAAAATTTGAAAACTTTATTTCATATTTATTGAAAAATGACCAAAATAATTTACAGTAAAAGAAAATTATTTAAGAAGTCAGATGAAAAACATGTTTATTTTTCAGAAAAAGCAGATCAATGAAGCAATGGGGCATATGAGGCTGGCTCCTGCTGCTAATTGGGCGTGTGTATCTTGATATCGAAACAAGGTGGAATTCTACCTATTATATGATAGAAAAGCTTATTGACCAAATGGAACCTCTTGCAGCTAGGAACAAAGTAGAAAACTTGACTCAAACAGATTGGAAGCTGGCAAGAGAATATGTTGATGCTCTCAAACCCTTTGAAGATACAAAAATGATGTCAGCATCCAGATACTCAACAGCATCAATGATTATTCCAATTCTGAATACACTTATTGACAAGATGATGAAGTCTGAGCTGGATTGTTTTGGGGAACAGGTGATAGGCAACATTAAATTGAGATGGCCCAACTATGAAAGTGAGGAATTATACACCATCACCATATGCTTGGACTCTTGATTTAAACTCATTGTATTTTCAGATGACAGAGTATCTAGGATTAAGAGCGAGGTGGATAGATATCTCTATGAAACGAACATTGACCCATCAGCCTGGCCATTTGTTTGATGGAAGAAAACAGGATGCTCTACCCAAATCTTTCTTTTCTTGCAAGAGATTTTTTAAAGTATTCCAGTTACCTCTGTAGTGATTGAAAGAATATTTAGCAAAGCAGGGCTTGTCATCAGTAACCAAAGATGTAGGCTGAAACCTAGCCATGCTGAGAAACTGGTTTTTCTTAACCAAAATTTAAGATAATGAGATGAAACATTCTATAAATTAAAAAAAAAAAAAAAAAAAAAAAAAGGCGCAACTTTTACAGTTTCCTTTTACATTTAACATAAAGAACAATTCCAGGTTTGTTAAAACAGATTTCTGTTGCACATAATGTAGGTTTTTTTTTTTGGAGTTTTTTTTAAAAATCATTTTTCAATGAATGTGTACCTTAGTTCAGATATTTAAATCATTTTTTCATGCCTTATTTTCTATGGCAGCCATAAATGTAAAGAAAATACAAATTATTATCAGTATTTCTGGATATAAACAGGAGAATTCTTTGCCTTTAAATAAAATAATAAATCATTGAAAACAAGTGTCTGTTAATGTCAGACATTAGTTTCAATAATTTGAAAGTTCTTTTACCACACATTTATTACAATCAGTTGCCTTTTTTTTTGCTTTTTTTGCTTGCTATATAATTTTTGAAGGAATTTGCTTCCATAGGCCAGAAGAAATGAACATCTTCCTTTGTAGTTTAAGGTGTCAATTGATTATTTCAAGAATATTGATAAAATTGATCCTTTGATTTTGAAAATCAAAAAAAAATCAAAAAAATCATTCCACATTTTCGGCTGTTTGAAGTAAAATAACGTTTTAACTCTCTGTAGAAAAATAATTCAATGAAAAAGTACATACAAATTACATATTTAGAAAGTGATATGAATATTTTTAAGATTAGACCAGAAATACACAAAAAATTGTGAATTGAATAGAGTAAGTTGCAAATTTATCAATCTCAAATAAAATCAGATATCAACCGGAAATGCTATCATTACACAAGAAAATGAATGGCTTCCTTAGAAATCAAAAACACTAAATTAAAACCCAAATCGAAAAACCACGGTATCAAGAGTTAAAAAAAAAAAAAACGATACCGAAACAAAGTGCGAAACCAACCAAGTCTAAAATAGGTTGATTTATTTTTTTTCTAAGTGGGGAACTACAAAGATATTATATTCAGAATGCTTGCAGTGAGCCTGAACAAAATTTACTATCAATTTCCAAATCTTAAAAAAAAAAAAAAAAAAAAAAAAAATCCTCAACCAAAATGATTAACAAATAGCAGTTCATTTAAAATCATACAAAGATAAATGGAATTTTGAGTAAAAACCAAGAGGAATAAATTATTGTAAAGTAAAATATTTAAATTACTAAAGCTTACATTTTGAAGTCCCCGGTTTTGGATTTTTCTCGGAGAACTCTGAAATGAAAAGAAAGTGCTTTCTAAAAGCAATGCCCAGTATGGAATTCAACTTAACAAAATTACAGCTCTAAATTTATTTATTTATTTTTTTTTTTTTTTTTACAAATCATAAATTCTGTATTGAATCTAAGCTAATGGTAACTTGATAAAAAGATATATAAAAAGTAATCACAAAAAATAAGGAATAATTTGTGTAAATCTTTCAAAAATTTATCTTGAACATTGCAGTTTTAAGCTTTGATCAATTGAAGCAAAATACCATTTTAACTCTGTAGAAAAATAATTCAATGAAAAATGCAAAATCCAAAAACGTTTAACAACACTTGAAGAATCACAACCAAAGTTATAAAGAATAAAATAACTTACCGAACATGGATTTCTGGGATGCTTCCAGGGTTGACTGGTACCTGCACTCCTTTCTCCCATTCCTGACGCCAAGGATCAGCAATCTGGAAGTATTCCTCAGGTTGAAGAGGGTCAGAATCAGCAAGCTTCATTGCACTGATTAGGTCCTTCCGGAATAACTGAAAATAGAGTTAATAAATATTTAAGGGAAAGAGAAAACTGAAACTGAAATTTATGGATAAAGAGAAAGGAATGGACTGACAAAACTATTGTTTAGAACAAAAATGTTTTTACCACAAGATAAATATTTTTCAAAGTGTATATGGGGGGGGATTTCATGGCAGTAAATCAGTTTATAAAATCTTCAGTATTTAAACAAAAACTCAAAATGTCAGTTTTATACTTGCACTAAACAAACAGCTTAATATTGGTATTAGATGCATATATTGATTAGCATAAAAAGACAATTCAGTATGAAGTTGTGTCATTAATATCCAACAACGAAAATAGGTTAAAGTGCATTAAAGTTTTAACTATATGATCTCAAGAAAAATCTCATCTGAATCACACCAAGGAAAAACACTTTTCTTATTCATTATTTTTCTTCAAACTCCAAAGATTACTTTTCATATAATCCTGGAGATAAGACTAAATTTAGAACACCTTAGGTGTGGGAAAAGTTTGCAACATTTTTATTAAAATTGGTTGTTAATAATCAATACATGTATCAATTGCCAAATTGTTTTCCAATATTTCATATAACATTATGCCTACATTTTGAAAGCTTTCCAATTTTACTTTGATAAAATAACTAGCTTCAGCACAAAGTTGTCAATAAAATTTTGAACATTAGAAGAATCTTTAAATTTTTGACCAGATAGGGAATGCGGCATGAATCAAAATAAACAACACAATGGCACAAAGTCTGGTGAACATTAAGAATTTACTATCTCAATTCCTGCATAGCATTTTGAGCCACCAAAACAAGGTTAAGTATTGTCAAGCAGTAGTATGACTTTCTGGCATCCATTCTGTAAGTGGCCTTCCTCCAGACCCTTTAAATTAGGTACTTCCATTTTTTCACTAAAAAAGAGCATACCATGATGAAAAGGGGCACCAAACTTGATAAAAAAAAAAAAACTAAAAACAAAGTTATCATTAAAATGGTCATTATTAGGAGGAAAGACCAAAGTATCTTTTTTATTATTTTATTGTACTTTTAATTCTTTCTACAACATTCTAAATTTTGATTAAAAATCTTGTTTATTTTTTCTGTCAGCAGTGGCCCAAAGACTACTATGGCTATTTTAACACATTTTTTTTCTGGTAAAATACACATTGATTTGGAAATTCTTGCAAAAATCAAATAATTGTCAGATTTTAATGAAACTTTCAGGACTTATTCACAAATGCATGAAATTATTAAATTTTTTTTTTTTTTTCCACATCTGTTCATTTTAAATTTTAGGTACTGCAAATGAGTGGAGATACCTACTTTAAATGTAGCACTCAAACTTCAAAAAGGTAACAATTGTAACAATGAAGTCAGTTTCACTAACTCAGCAATTCATAGTACAATATACTATTCATATCCCACCAAATACAGAGCAATAACCTTTTTTTTTTCTTTTTTAAAAAGTTAGGTTTTGCTACTAACGTGACAGACCATCCCAGGTCCACCTATGACTTTCAATGCTTCAGATTATAATAGTAAACCTACTTTTCATCGGCAGTGCCATGGTAATTTCCACAAAAATGATGAATTTTTTTTCTATATCTAGTAAGAAGTGAAATGCAGATGGTAAGAATCTCCAATGGTTCACTTGAACAATTTATGCAGAACACGTTCCCCACCTTTTTAAAAATCTTCCTTAAATTCTAGAAATGAGTCGACTGAAATATTTTAACCAATTCCAAAAGACTTTGCAGGTCATTATTTCTAAATCATTCTGGTCTGTCATTGTATTTGTTCTACAAGTCAAATTTACATTTCTTGAACTTCATAAACCCTTCATAATACACATTGCTTCCAGCCAAACCATTGCCATATGTTTCTTCAATAATCTTAATGTAGCAAGTGTCTCACTCCAGATCATACCAGAATAGACTTTGCACTGTGTCCTTCAAAGAAGCTAGGTGTAAGATTGACCTGAGGTGACCTCTTGACCAATGAGTCCATGCGACAGACCCAGCTGCACTTAGGTCATAAGCATGAGAAGAAACATATTATAGGAGATATATAAACATTCACCTCAGAGAGTAGATTGGCAGTCTCTCAGATGAGAACGCCTGGGTATGTATTCAATTTCTAGTTTTCAAAAAAAGAGGATGCTGAGAACTTTTGCACACACCCATAAATTCTATTTCCTCTACCAATTCAAATATGTTGGTACATTCTTTAACTATTAGGATGATTTTGGCAGATAAATGCTCAAATATTACATGCTGCAAATACAAAGTAGGATTTATTACATGCCTTTTTTATCTAGCAAAATAATTATCAAATAACCATACAGGTTAAAAATCATATTTGAAAATCCTACTTATTTAATTTTAAATTCAATTTTACTTATGACTTAAAAAAATATGCAGAAGTTGTGATACATAAAGTTCACATTGCTTTCATTTTAAGTAACAAAAACAATAGAGTATTTGATGACAATTTTTATGGACATATTTGATATTTGCTTTTTAATGTAAAAGAATGGATATTTAAGTTTAATTTACAATATTATTTTCAAAATGTATAAGACATGCCAAGAATCTTCTGCATTGAAAAAAGGTAAAAATGAAGTGACTGATAAAATCTTTAATACTATGTTTATTGCATCAGTTATGCATAAGAATAAAGAAAAATTGAATCAAATGATAAACATCTACAAAATGCATCAAGATTTCAATATACCTCAGCAGGTTTGTTGTGGTTTGACCCAAAACTTGGACTTCGCATTCCATTAGGACTTAATTTGCTGGCTGAAAGAAAAGTTTTTATTAAAATGAAAAAGAAAAACATGTTTAAATCTTAAAATAAATGTAAAAAGCACAAGAATTCTTTCTTTGCAAGTTCTCTTGTCCAATAGCCAAATTAAATTTAATTGTAATTAAATAAAATCCATAATAATGACAAATTTAAAGCAAGTTTAACATTGACATATAATCAAATTGTCTGTTGTCTGTAAGCAGACACAACAAGCAAAATAAATGCTGTTGTAGTTAATTTACAATTAAAAAAAGTTTTAAGCTGTAAATACTTTATTTAAACTTATCTTTCAATTCCAGTCATTGCTTCTGTGGAAGAACTTATATCCAACAGAATCAATACTTAATGACGGTACCTAAATGAAACATTAACAAAACAGATGTCAATCTAATTTTATAAATGAAATTGAAACTATTAATAACAGAATATTAAATGTAAAAAGAATTTTAAATGAAAAGGATTATTCCACATTTTAAATGTTAATTGAGTGGCCTGATTCATAATGTAACCTAAAAATTTACATAGAACAGAACATTATAAATACAATCTTTTTTTTTTTATCATTAAAACAATTTTTATATTTTATAAAAGTCAAATCATATAGAAAGTTGTAAGAACTTTACAAATATTGGATAAAAATGGCTATTAAATTTAGGTATTATATTTTGCCAGAATGGTGTTTCTAAGGATAAAAGTAAAACTTGATGCTCATGTACTCTTTATCATCTTTGTTTCATCAAAGATTTAATCAGCTTCATTAGATTACTGGAATTAGAAGCCATTAAAGGATTTTTAAAGCATTTCGAGTTTAATATTTGCAGTAAAAGCTTAAAATTTACAACAAATATTTAATTCCCGTTTGTTATAATTTCCCATAAATAGAACTTATAAAACTTTATTCTTTGCACTAAAATAGGTTAAATATTGATCAAATTATTTCATATAATTATATATGCAAGAATTACAAACAAAAATATAATCATGTATTTTAAGACAATGATACAATAAGAAAATCTCAATGGTTGTCTTAAGTCAGTCCTAAAATTCTTAGTTCATTGAATAATATAGATATATTATGTCTACTTATTTTTATATCGATCATTTCCAATTGTTTCTTGATGTTAAAATGAAATTCAACAAGGAAGGTGCCATAGTTTTTCTTGTTTTTTTTTTTTTTTTTTTAAGTACTTTTGATTTTTTCCAAGATCATCTTCAGGAGTAAATTACAAAGACAAACTTATTGTAACTACGATAAAATCTGCAATCTGTTATGATTGGGATTTTTTAAAACATGTGCAAACATGCTCTGTTATAGTTATTCTAAAATTTTAAATTTATCCATTGTACTTACAGAATTTTTTGAAAAACAAGCATTTCAATACAAGGAAGCTGGCCAGAAATTTGTAGAAATGTAAAAGAGCATTAAATATCTGCTACACACACTTTAATATGTTGATGCTATATTCGTAATAAATTTTGAGTGTTGATTGTTTGATTTTGATGTAGAGGGCCTTGAGAATTTAAAGTTTTCATTTATTATTTTCATGGTGTAGTATATTGGTGTTGTCAACAAGTATTTTCCTGTATTGTGAACATAGACAGGAAAGTGTTTTTAGATGTGTAATAGAACTTGTATCTGACAAATGAAATGCAAGACATGTACTTACTTTTTGTCAGATAAAATCACCCAGTATTTTCTGTAATTTCAAATTATAATCAGATTTATTTAATACAACAACAAAAAAAAAATCTCATATGTACTAATATATCCCCCACTGACCACAGTAAAAAAAATAAAACTAATTATACATTTCCTTTTTGAAGACTTTTTTGCCAAATGAGTTTTTGATTTGATGTGTAGTGATCTTTGATTGTGCCAACCCTAAAAATGTCAACACTTTGGAGACAGAATTTGCAAAATAAAATTTTCTTCTGCATAAAAATCATTAGGAAATTGCTCTACTCTGGCTTTAGCATAAATTTTAGATACTGGGGTCATTTTTTTTTTTTGTTTTAAAAGGGCAGGCCCAACTTTTGAGGTTGATTCACTATATTGACTTGATTCAGCCATCTTAACAATTTGTTGCTTATTCATACAACCGATTTAGATTACAAAAATATGAAAAACAATCATTGATATCTAATGTTATTAAAGAATTTTTTTGTTCAATTTAAAATTGTTTACAATGGTGAAGCACTGATGATGCAATTATTAATCTGGGAGAATTTATTTTATTTATTTCTAAATTGTATGGTAAGCACCTGAGAGCATTTACTTTTCTTTCATATTCATAAAACAAGTTGTTTAGAATCTTTTACTTGTAAATTGTGTGAGGTCTCAAAAGAAATGAATTTGTTAAACATATTGGTTTGATCTCTCTCTCCCTCCTCCAATTTTGACATCAACTAATGTCTATCTTCCCCATTTCCACTTTAGCAATTGATCTTGGAGGCCTAGAACGAACTGTGACCTTCTGATCTTCATCTCATTTGCTACATACAATTTATTAGAAAAGTTATAAAATATTTAAAAATAGACTAGCCAACATATACTCAGAAAATCAACAACTCACTTTTTTATGTAAAAATTGCGTTCTTAATTATTTTTGAGGTTTTATAAGGAAAATAACTACAAATATTTGTAAAAACAAATTTTAAGGTAATAATGTTATGTTATTGTTATATTTATTAAAATGTTTAATAAAATCAGAAAGAATGTTATTAAGTTTTGAAATAATAATAATAAAAAAATAAAAAATAAAAAAAAAAAAAATAAAAAAAAAAATCAAATAATTTGCTATTATTGAAAATTACATTAAAAACCCAGACACCATTTAAGATTAATATTTCCATAAAATTTGTTCCTTATATTATACTAGATTTAACACAACCAACTTAACTGTATGCAATAAATCTTCTCAATCAAATAAAAAAATTGTATTTCAGTTTAAATTCCCTTTTTGGGTGATTAAGTTTTGAGTTTAAATGCACGGGCTTTTAAAAAACCACCATCACAATGGAATGCAGGTTTTATCACAGTTACAATAAGTTGTAATTTACCCTTGAAGATATTCTTTGAAAAAATTGAAAATACCTAGCAATAAAAAAAAACTATGGCACCTCCAGTGAGATATGTTTAAATGAAGATATGCTGCCTATATATATATATATATATATATATATATATATATATATATATATATATATATATATATATATATATTTTTTGACACACAGGTGTGTATGTGCAAGATGCTATCCTTTATGTCTGTTTATCACTTGGTCAGGTTAAAAATGACTTGATCCAAGAAATATTTTTTGAAAGCCATATGGATAACAATTCATAATCCCATTATACCTCTGCGTTCTTCTTCATCATCACTACTAAGACGAGCCCTCTTTTCTCGCTGATATTCAGTTTCTGAAAAAGAAACAAAAAAAATAGATTGTGTAAAATATATACATTATTTGAAAAATGGATAGAACAAAAAACACCTTTCAAAGATAAAGAATGCTTTAAAGCATGCAATATACAAATATAAAAAAAATAATATGCATAAAAGATTGTCTTTAAGAAAGAAAAAGAAAATAGAAAGAATATGAAAGTGAAACAAGCAAATAAAGGTTTGTAGAAACCTCAGTAACAGCAAATGTACAGTCATTCTAATACAAAATATATGAAGAGAAGCCAAACCACCTTCTGCCAGTATGTTATGAAATGTGCACAGATTTAACTTTAAGAAAAATTTATTTTATATACATGCAAAAAGAAATTAAAAATTTAGCAAGCTGAAAGACAAGCATACACACACAAGCATATAGACAAACAATATTTTTTTATAAATATGAACACACAAATATTCACGCATACAAGGATGGATCAATAAGTCCGTAGCCTGAAGTATAGTGAATAGCCGAATTGTGATCTGAAATATTTACTGTATGTTCAATCTGAGTGATGAATATTCAACACTAAATTAAATGCATTGACAAAAGAGGAGATTAAGCTGAAAATTTGTGCAAAATAAATGCATTTTTCATTAGACTGCGGACTTAAACATATGCACACACATACAACTCAGTTATATATGGATAAATTTCAGAGATTAATGACCAAAAAGAAACTTGTATATGTATGTGCCAGTAGATTTATTTTTGACCAAAATTTATGTGCAATGGTTAATGCTTGAATTCTGACATTCTAAACTAATTTTCTGTCTACATACGAAAAGATTAAAAACACACAGCTCATGCTGGTTTTAACTAATCACATTATTAACAAGCTGACAAATTTTTAGTTCCCCTGCCCCCAATGGCCTAGTCATATAACATTTTTATTATAACCAGGATATTCACATACAAGCATGTTAATTACCAAACTCAGGCTAGACTAGCAGAAGGTCACAAAGAATACAATTTAACAAACTCCTTAACTAACCAGTGGCATACCATTGGTAACTGCAGACATCAAGAAAAGTCATGACCCTCTCCTGTAAGTGTAATTGAGACAATATGTCATGACATATTTCCAGTGCAATTATTAATACTTGGCATCTCATCTATAAATGTTACACATGCTTACTGATTTTTAACTGACCTACATTTGAATTAGATATAAAAAGACTTATCATGCAAGAAGTAATTGAAGTATCAACACTGTCTAATAATATTAATATAAATAATACTTACATAATGGCAATATTCAAAGTACATACACGCATAAAAAAGTAAAAAAAAAATAAAAAATAAAAAAAGCAACAAAATGAGAATGCGAAACTCACCAGGGCTTTGTTCCCTTCCTAAGGATTTCTTGCTTCGAACTGACATGGTTCACTGCAAAATGAAAAATAAATTTTTAAAAATTTGAACAATATATGTATTTTCCTTCTTCATAACTAAAAATATTTTCCTAATGTAAAATTAAACGCTAATAGAACACCTGTTATAAGGCTGCAGACCATGACCATAAAGATGTTATTCAATTGTTGGCTTTTAACCATATACAAAACAGTTTAACAGAAAAAAAAAAAAATCACATTAGAGAAAAATCAATTTTTCTTTAAGCAAAAGCAATTTAACATTAAATTACAAAGTCTGTGTAAATGGTCATTACCATACAATTTTCTAAAGCTTATCAACCCATTTCAGGTTATTAAAAAGCAGAAAATAATTTTTAGAGTGTAAGAATTTAGGGTGGGGAGATAATAATGGTTTAGTGACACAAGTCTTAGTAATTAACCATAGCTGTTGGGAGAAGTGGATCCATACCTTTCCCAAGGGTGTTTGCATGTAAGTGAATATAACAAACAGAAATTGAAACTCTGAGCCATTATCCATTACACCACATGTACATCCAAGCTTACAGCACCTGGTATTCCCAAGCAGTCACCCATCTAGGTACTAATCAGGATTGACATTGCTTAATTTCAGTGATTGTACAGGAACCAATGTTTCAAAGTGATGTGGCCGTAAACAATATTATTAATAGTCAAGGTTTAAATTAAGAGCTGACAATTTACAGCAATCAAGCCATTCTTGTATTTATAAAAACTGTTATAATTCTATAAATATTAACATAAAATGGCCAAAATATACTACAAATTATAAAATGCTATACACCAAGTTACAAAAAAAAAAATAAAATAAATAAGTGTTGCTATTTTGTTCAAAACCAAAGTTTTATTTTATAATTTCTTTTGGTTTATCAAAATGCCAATTGATGTCATAATTGTTTGCATTATTTTTCACTTTTAAGCTTTTTTAAGATTCCTCTGCACAAAAATCTGCTGTGTAATTTTATTTTTTCAACTTTATACCCAATTATTAAAAAAAAACTTACAATACAACTTTAATATAAATTACTTGGCTCATTTTATATCATATCACAAAATTAAATCTTATCAGTTTGAAGGCATGTTAAAATTTATGGCATATTTACAGAAATTAAGTCTTTATTTTCTTATTACATATAGTAAGCAATGAAATAAAAACTCACTATCAAAATACATTAGATACAGATTTTTTGTTTTTAATTCTATATGATCATTTATAATGCTCACTAACAATTTATGCAAATGTTTTTTTTAAAGAAAATAGCATTATTTTTTATTAGAAACTGAGGAAGAGAAAATAAATTGTAAATATTTTAAGATTATCCCTAATGAATAAATATCCATTGTCGAATTAATTCAGATGAGTTGCCAATTCTAAAGAGAAATGATAGCTTATAAAGATAAAATTACAAGGTCTGTATGTGCCCACAACTAAATATTCTTCATAAAACCTGATATGACAGAAAACATTTTAGAAATTAAATAAAGTCATCTAAAAACAAAAATAGATATCTTCTTCCACTTGATCTAATCTGTCATAAACATTTAAGTTTATTAGGAGCATGTGCAAAAGTTTAATTTGTGAAATTAGTGAAAAATGTGTATACCTTTTTTATTCTTAATGTAATCAAATATTTTCTTCCAATATAGTGTTGCACAGAGACTTTTTTTAAAAATCATTTTCATTAGATGGTTAAAAAAAAAAAAATCTTTTAAACAATTTAAATTTATTTAACTGATATAACTAACAAAACTCATTATCTTTTAGGTTTTAACTGGATCTTCAATCTACTTGAAGAGAAATTTTAACATTTAGTGCAAGGTGTTTTCAAAGATGGGATTGAACTCTGTATAGTTTCTATAAGTACAATTTACATTTAATATATGATGCCCCAGAAATGTCAACTTATAAACTTGCTTTCAAGAATAATATTATTAGTTGCTCTTCCTGTTTGCCCATTTTTATTCTAAAAGTTACTAATGTTAAAAAAAAAAAAATTTCATAATATTAATAATATAGGTTAATGATTAACAAGTAGATCATAAGGTAATGTACTCAATTCAAGAGACGGTAAAATTATATTTTTAACTATTAAAAAAAAATAAATAAAATATTTTACTTACAATGTTAATCTTGTACCTGTCAGATGTGATGGCTATTTACATGATATAAATGATATAATAATTTTCTCTTGTTATCTCAAAATTTCAAAAAAGATATACTTTAAGACCTTTCAACCAGAGTTACTTCTTAGAATTGCAAATATGCCTGTAGCAAGTAATCTGTTCTGATATGGGTTGCAGATTTGAGGATTAATCAATTAAGAATCTGACATTAAATGGCACTTGATCATCTTAAGTAGCAAAAAACATCTGGCAGAAACAACTTACTCAGACTGTTACCATTCATGATGATAACCTTTTCATAATCATAATGTGCAAACAGTCAAGCTTAATTTTTAATCAAAGCACTTTATACTAATACACTATTCCAGCAGAAAATTACACTAGAACTACAAGTCTAAAAAACTAGAAAATATAATAATTTTTAAATAAACTCATCTTCATTATTTACATGTGGACTGTTGTTCTCTTTGTTGAAGACAATAGTCTGCATGTAAATAACTCCTCATACCAGAAATTCAAACAAAAATTTATCTTCAGTTTCACTCAACAATATTTGGATAATTCATTAGAATATTCCATAACATAACAAATAATTTCTTTATTACTGCAAGTCAAGAACAAATCATTTATGGACTATACAATCTGAAAAAACATTTTCATTCTTAGAAATTGCTTCAATACAGTCTAATGGCAAAAAATGAGAATTTGTGCAATAAGGAAATGAGTGGTCATGTAGAGACAAATACCTTAAATACTCCATCTTTATGGCATTAAATATTTTTTGTAACTGGTTCTAAAAATTGAAATCCAAAAAGGAAAGATAAACCTAGTTAAAAAAAAAAATCTTTATCCATCAGATATGTCAAGGAAATTATCTAACTACAATAGAATTCATCTTTTGATTAATTCTTGATAGCCCATTACCATGAAATAACATCTTGAAAAAGAGCTTGCCACTCAATTAAGTATGGACTCCCTCCTAACAATACAAAAGAATACTGAAAAATTCATCACACCCTCATTATATAAATAATATATTTCAAAACTTTATATCAATCATCAAAATGCTATACTTGATTCTATGAGATGCATTTGAAGGACAACGCTTCAAATACTAATTTAAAGACAAAATTAATTTAAAAATAATTTAAGAGAATCCACTTAAAATCAATCAATTGCTGAGTTAAACAAACCCTGTAACAATCAAACTAATAAAAAGAAACATTCAAACTGATGCATTATACAAAAACTGCAGACAAAAAGTGACAATAAAAAATATTGTAAAAATAGTACAATTTATCAATCAAACTAAACATATGGTGTGCTGAAGAACTTTTGACCCAACACTTGCAAAGATTCAATCAAATGATTAAACACCAAATATTTTTTAATCATTTTTTTTTGATCAAGCCAAAAAAATTTTCACCACTCATTTGATATAATTGGTAGAAAATAAACACAAACAACAAATAAATCAACACTATCAAGCAGATCAATTATATTTATATACAAATATTATTATTATTATATGTATATACAAATACTATAAATTATTGATACAAGGAATCAAATCTTGATGTACTTAGAACTTATTGAAGTTACCTCAAAAAATGAAAAGTTTACAATATTGACAGTAATTAATAAACTATCAACTAACATTTAATACAAAAAATGAGTATGCAAGCTGAAAGTATAAAACAAATTTAATCAAAATAACATCATGCATTTTTAGGCTGAAAATTATCTAACAATTAGAAATAGGAATATGATTAATTTTTACATTAAATACCATTCCATATCATGTCAATTTAGTTTCTTTTTTTTTAGTATCAAGTAATACAATTCTCGGCTTTAGTCACTATCCCACTGCTGTAACAGCTTCTGTGCCTTTTCTATAAATACTTTCATGATAATTGTTCTGATGAACCTTCCTCTATGGTCCTTAGACATTATGAATTTAAGCACAGTACTAGATTGGTAGAAAGGTCTCATCATTTTACAGTTGAAATGGCTAGATGTAATTGCCAAGTTCTATGGTAACAGTTCAGCACTTCTCACTTGTGGGACTCTCTTGCAGCTTCTTGCTTCCCAGTCAACTTTCATCTTTAAAAATTTAAATGCAATGTCAATTGTTATCTTGTATCTTAATTCCTTTTTTTTATTGTTTGTTTGTTCTCTCCTTAACAGTGTTTTTCCCCCTCATTCTCTCATTCAGTAACCTCTTCTAGCTTAATGGCTTTATTGCCATTGAGGGTGAAATTTGTTTATTCTAAAATAGTCTTTAAAACTTCAAATGCCAATTTGTTTCATTTCTATAATCCCTTCTCTCAAACAGGTTTGAGAGGAATTGCTATCAATAGAATAATGCAATAAAGATTAAAGACGGTCAATTTCTACAAACAAAATATTCGGATAGATTTATGGGTCAAATCTAAGAGAGATAACTCTCTTGGAAAGAAACTTATAAAAGGAAATTTTTAAACCTGAGTCGAGGGTCATTAAGGTTTTAAATTATTTCATTCGGTATAAAATAGACCTATCATTTACTGAAAAATTAAACGATGATAATATAATTATGATGATATAATCGATAGTTATTTTACAACTTTTTTTCAACAATCAGTTCACCTTTGTGCTAATATTTAAAATTTATTTGCTGGAACTAACTTCATTTTAATTTGTAAAACTAGAAAATTATTTTAAAATAGTAATTAACAGAAAATTTTAAACATTCCAAAGCATGGCAAAATCCTCTAAGTTTTTTTGTTTTTTTTTTCAATGCAGTCTCCTGCCAAATTTTTATTTATTTGTAATTCATAATCAAAATTAATTCTAACTTGAAGGATAAAACAACTGAAAAAAGATTATAAAAAAATAAGAGCTCTATATCATTCATACCTAATTTTGGAAAATGCATAACAAATATTCTTTTCGTTGCTTTTTTTTTTTAAACTTAGAATTCTTAAAATGCTAAGAAATAAAACTAAAAGATTTTTTGCTTTTGTAATAAAGATTTCTTGAATAAAAAATATTTACCTAATCAATGTTTATTTTAATCAGTGATAAATATTCAGACCCATATTGTTACAAGCATGATGTGAACTATGGAACTAATGTTAATTTGTGCATGACAGAAAACAGCTTCTTCATTTAAAGACTGATAATTACAAGCATTTGTAAAAATATAATTTATGATTTTGGATGAAAGGAGCATTTTAGTTATAAACAAAATCAATTCTAAATTGAAGAGTAAATTGATTAACTCAAGATAACATTGATCTGACAGTAAACAAAAGATCATTAACTCTTTAAAACCTTGTCATAAAAAAAAAACACGTCAATTGTCAACAGAATTGTTTATTGAAATATAAATAAAAGTACAGTATATTTTCATTCTAAAACTTTGTTATAACAAAAATTACTATAAGTAATTTTTTTTTTTACTCATGGTTTTATCATTCAAATTACAATATCAACAACTTGTTTGTATAAAAGATTTTGAAAAAGCAAAA